CAGAGTATGTCGGGCAGAGAAGTGCCCAACAAAAAGTTTGGAACAGACCCTCTGCCTATCACAGACTTCTCAGGGAGCAAATTGGTATGACGAGCAGCTTTCGGGTGTACTGTTGCGCTTGCTCTCCAACCAGCCAACAATGAGCATGGTTCGGTTTGTCCCGCAATATCCCGCCCAAAATGTCTTGAGCCCATTCACGTGGTGACCTTTGTGATCAGGTTTGGACTGAAGTTGATCAGTGCATTCGAACTGAGGCTTTTGGATTCTCCACAAAAGCGGTCAGAGTTCGAGCTTTGACAGTTTCCCACCGTAAAAGCGTGTTCGAAGTACATCACCAGCTCGACGTCGGGGGATGTCGGTGAATCCTGACGGTTGGAATTTTCAATCCGAGGGTTGACATTCACCCAGCTGTGCGTGTGTACTGTGCGTGTGTACCAGACGAGAGGGAGAACCTTTTAGGGGGAAATGTGACCCAAATTTGACCCACGAATGTACACCCTTTTTCTCGCCAGTCTCACTGGCGGAAGCACTGGCTACAGTGCGTACGTGTGCATGCTCCCTAGGGCTCTGGTGCTTGTAACCGAGCCCCAGGTTGGTGGCGGGCAAATCCACTCCGGAGGGACGGTACACAGCGGTTTTAGGAATAAAATATGGCGGTTGAAAGTACGGTTGAAAGGCGAATGTTCTTATATGGTATGTTCTGGGACCATTCTGGACGCATTGATGTCAGTACAGCCGGTCTGTCAATATGGCCAATGACACTGTGGCGCGGAAAAGGGTGTAGTACAAAGTAACCATCAGGACATCTCTCGGACAAACTTTTCTGGAGCGGAGGCTAGCCTTACCACTCACTGAAAGATAACAGGTGCCACTACTACTAGTACCGCATTTGAAAGCCCGCCGCATCTATCTTACTGCAGCTAGCCTAGCCTGCATCTATCGTACTGAGTAAGATAGCACTGTTATCTATCTTTCTGAGTAAGAAAACAGGTGCCACAATTACCGCATTTTGAAGTCCGCCGCGTGCAATGGACAGTCCACGTGCCATATTTCACGGGAACAGTAGTTTCCCGCCAGGATTTCGGTTCCGGCCGACGGACGAGGAGCTGCTGTGTTACTACCTCTTGCGGCGCGTGGAGGGCCTTCCCATAGCATGGAACGCGATTGGTGACGTGGACCTGTACAAGTCCGAGCCTTGGGAACTGCCAGGTAATACTGCATCTCAATTTGAGATTATTTCATCCCCTTGTAACAGGATGGGAATTCGCCATGATGCAGGGACGCATGGGAACACCCGTGTACTAGCAATTTCCCTCTTTATTCCTTGGAGGAACCACCGCTGCTTAGAATAAGGAGGGAAATTGCTAGTACACGAGAGAAGTTCTGAGAAGTTGCTAGCTTTACA